TATGCCAAAAAATGACTTAATAATTGCATAAAAATTGCGATGGGATTTTAGGCAAAAAAAGTGAAGCTTAATTTTAATAATTAGTGTTTTTAATATTTCAATTTTCTTTATTGGCCCTAACACTGTATGAGTAAATAATTACGTAGGTAGTTGTGACAGACATAATCGAAATAAATCAATCATATTACACAGTAATTTATCATTAGGTATGTATCTAATCTATACAACATTCTTTCGACAATCAGTGTGTTATCATTTTTATTGCGACAAATCGCAATCGAGAAGTATTTATTCATTACGAGAATATTAGAACACAGGATATTTTATTTCTTATTATTGAGTTTATTAAATTGGTTCAAATAAAATATCTTAAGATATTGTCCTGTTATTGACTTGAATATTATTAAATTTTCGTTATTTTTATTTTAATATTATTCAATACTTTTTAAATGAAAGATTTACTGTGTCAGTTTTAGTCTTTTTTTCTATATGTTTTATAATCACTATAATCTACTTAATCAGCAAAGGTAAAAAAAGATTTAATTCAGTATTTTTTGACATAGTAAATGGAAGGTTTAGACAGGGGACTCCTGCAAAGAGGGGCCCAGTGCTGTGGCTCCTCTTCGAGCCCCTCTTAATACGGCGCTGGTGTTGATTAAATGTAATCCAATTTTAGTAGTTGGTAATAATACAATTTTTATTCGCATTGATATTTAAATAGCTATTACGAAAAGTAAATTTGTTTATTTAATTAGTTATTTATTGAAAAGCTATTATTTTTTATAGTAACGTGTAAAGTTCTAAAATAGTATTGCACTATTTTTTATCTAATATTTCATTACCATTTTCTTATTGTTATAAAAATGTCAAATTAACGATCAAGAAGATGTATAAAGTCAAGTGTTTGAGTATCTGATTATGTATGATTACATGTACATACTCGATGCTTTCAATCGATAAAAAATACGTCTGAAATACCTAAAAGATATAATATAAAAATTCTTTATTGACAGATAACCATCATTTATTTCAGTAGCAAAATTTGATTACATCCGCTATTGCGGTGAAAATAATTATTAATTTCAGATTACAAAAATAATCAAACTACTATTCTAAAATTTTGTTTCGAATTTCGTTATACCAAAAAAATGTGATTAGGTATACTTAATTTCAAATGTTTATTGTTGGTAAAAAAAGAAAGAAATAAATATTTTGCGAGTACAAATTCCGAAGAGAATGGGAAATCCACGGAACCGGAATCTTGAACCTGATTCGAGGGGAAATAAAAGTAAGTTAGGTCAGACGAAGGAAACGACATCGCTATAGTAAGGCCTCGAAATATCGTTGCTCATTGCTCCCTGATCATCGTCTCAACTGTTCGTGTCGTGGGTGCTCGGTGAACAAGGAGAACGAGAAGCGCAATAAAGATAATTCATGTCAACCGTACACAACGATCGTCCGCGCAAATACCGTGTACAGACTAGTCTGAGACAACGAAATAATCTGTGTATATGCCATTACGGCTTCTTATTTATTTTCCTGCTCATAAGGTGTGTCACCAATGGCACGACCACTTATATAGTAGTTGCAGTTAAGGTCGTGAGACTCGTTTATCAAAACCTGACGAATAGCGTAACTGGAAATATAAGACATTAACATAATTGATTTGAAACTTCATAAAAATGAATATCTTCGTGTTGTATCATTACTCGAGGACTACGCTATGTGTCATCAAAGGATCACGGGATATATTTTAGAAAAAAATGAAACTATTTTTTTGATTCACTATAAATTTAATCATTTGCCAGTTTCTAAGATATTTGGCACCCACTCGTGCATCCTAAGAATAGTTGCTCTTTCTTGAAGTCTTATCTGGGTCAATGTGTCTATGTGTTTCCTAAGATCTTTCGAGACTATTGTAAGGCAACACTGTGGAGAAAAGTTATTATCGATGAAGATCGATAAATTCGCTTTGCATCGGGAAGAAATGATAATGTTAATTATCTCATTCAATATTCTCTGTTTCCTCTTTCTCTTAATCATTATAAATGTTTCATTATGTTAGTTGACGCGGTAAATAGATTCAATCAACACAGAATGAGGGGGATGGAGCAGAAAATCAAGCTTAATGAGTACTAATGACCGCGTGCGGTCAATAATTTAAGTAGCAATGAAGAAAATTTCGAATTGTCTCTTGAACGTTTATTCTGGGCAACAATTATTTAGAAAAGTAGAAACTTTCAATGATATTTCTGATCTTTCTTTCTAATAATTCAGAAAATGTTATAATTAGCAGCTTATGAATCGCGATTAAGTCAAAAGCAGACAGTTTGCGTATCTTTAATCTTATCTCGGTTGCGAATTGTATTTAGGTCGATTCTTATCACATATCTATTATGATAAGCTTAGAAATGAATGAAATATAATTCTCAAGTAAATTTTCTTATCGTTATCTAGATTCGTTTTTTATTTACTATATGACGTTTTTTGTTAAGTAATGGCCTGGAACAGGAATGATCGAGTTAGAACAAATTTATTATTCAATAATCGTGGGTTATGAATTTTTCTTTTTTTATATAGAACGTATCTTTTGGAACTGCCTTACTTACAGTAGTATTTTTGTCTGTGGCGAAAAACAGGTCAAACAAATAACAGTTGTACGATTTCTGAAGTGACACATGTAGAACGAAGCAAGCTATTTTTTTATTTAGAACCCCTATTTTATTTATGGATCAGTAGTATTTATTGTTAAAGTCGTTAAATTGTAATTATTTTCAGAAGTGATAAAAATATTTTGGTAAAAAAAAGAGAGAATAAAGATAAATTGTAGTAAGATTCGTTAATATTTTAATATTGAAAATTGTATTATTTTATTATAAATTTATTGATTTCCTAATGTCAAATTTTAAAGAAAGGGTTTAAGACTTACAAGATTTTGGTTACAATAAATATCTGATCTACTAATTAGAATATTAATTTTATGTAATTGAACCGAAGGGTTAATTGAGATATCAATAAATAAATAACTAAATACTACTTTAATTAGAAATATTTGTATTAAGTATTTGCAATCATAGATAATATCACTAACATAATTATAAAAATAATAAACAAAATTTGTTATGAAATAAAAATACTAGGTGCTCAATGAAATCCTTCGGTAACGTTTTCATGACAGTAAACGCGTTAAAATTATTGCACTTTGTATTGATCGTTGTCAAATTATCACAGAGCAACACCATTTACTATTGAACGATTAATTCCCGTCGATCTGACTTCCAAGATTTCGAACTTGTTAAACCAGATAGACATGGTCGAATATCTTGCACTTTCCTTTCATGGATCCGACTGAGCCGCCGGGAGGTAGGCATTCTGGAGACTGCATTTATGCCTCATTTCATTATTTGCGGCTCGAGTCGGCCCGGTGTTTTCTCTTTTTACGTAGCTTGAAAAACGAGGTTGCCTAGGTACGGCGCGCCTGTGGCGTAGGTCGCGTACAGTTAAGCCGTGATTACAAACGCGTAGGCGTTTCGTACTGTCGCCCGATAAGATCGATGAAATCGGCCGATAAGATCGATAGGAGTTGCACTCCTTAATAGCAGGAATTCAGCTAGGGCATAATTTAATAATATTGCATCCCCCTGTTGATTTACGACTAGCCGACGACGCATCAAATCACTGTGCTGATTTCTTTTCGTGACCTGCCAATTTCAGAACCGTTCGCCTCATTTCGTTTCGGTATATCTCTATAGGTATTTCGGTTAAACGTGAAAGAAAATTGTCAGCTTCAATATTTTTGGCGAAAATTGACTTTTTAAATAAATTTGCAAGAAATCAGAATTGGATTAACAATTCTGGTGCCCCGCGGCTATGAAAGCTCCGAGGACTCCCCTGGTGGACAAAATTTCGTTCAATATTTTTTGATGTAGTAAATGGAAGGCTTAGAAGGGGATCCCCTGCAAAGTGGGGCGCAGGGCTGTAGTCTCCCTTGGACCTCCTCTTAATCCGGTGCTGCAAAAAATAAATATCTAGATAATGGATTTTTCCAGTCAGTTTCTAAGTTATCTGATAATCGGAGTAGTAACAATGACCACTGCATATGCCACTGCATGGTCCCAGTGCTGGATTAAGGGGAGCTCTAAGAGGGTCTGCAGCTTTAAGCTCCACTTTGCAAGGTGCCTTGTTATTATAAGCCTTCCATTTATTATGCCAGAAAAAATGTTGAATATAATTTTTCCATTTTTGTCCCGTTTTACGATTAAGAGCTATTCAATTTTATTTAAAATAAATTTCAATTATTGGAACAAGTTTATCAATTAAAAAGGATCTCAAGGGGTTAAAAATTAATATATATATAATTTTGGTGGATAATGTTTTTATAAAGAAAATTATTATATATAAATGAATAAAAAAATCGTACAGAAGCTCTCAAGATAATAATTGATTCATAAAACTCAATAAAAACGAAGAAGATTTATATATTACAAAAAGAAATATAATCTACAGTACATAAAATGTACCAGTTTATTAAAATCGGTATCGCAGTAACTCAGAAAAAAAATTCGAAAACACTTATCAGAATTCGTATTAAAACTGCAATAATAAAGTAACTATATACATAAGCTATAAAAATTAATAAAATTCTATCTATAAAATTCAGAAAAGAGCAGAATAAAAATTGGCATTCTTATAAAATATAAAGAACTAATAATAATTGAACAACATTTCTATAACCACCAAATGAAATATTGTTAAAAAATAAAAAAAAGAATCACTTTAAATTTCGAAAGCGTTTTACCCAAAATGGCGCTTATGTGGATTAACCCTATATGGCGGTATATCGTTTAATTTGTTTGTAAAAGTAATTATACAGTATCAAGAGATCTTGGGACCAATCGTTTACCGCCCTCAGGACGATCTGTCGATCCTAACAGAGTACAAGAACTTATCAGTCGTTTTATGAGCAGTTGCTATGCGTTATGGAAGGGGTCCCTGCAGTCACCTACTAGCTCGACCAGTTAGAAGTCAGTGTGTGTAAGCCGGCCGGTCGTGCCGGCTTCTTTTCTGCCTCTGCTCTGTTGCACCTCCGTTTTTCGAAAAATCATTCTGCCTTTCATGTTCACTGAAACCCAGCCTTTGGAAAACGTGAAAAGTGTCTCGTTTACGATCGAACTAAAACCATCTCAAAGGAGCATTTATTAAAAATCAATTATTTCTACCACCATTGAATCTCAGTGCTGCAATCGAGAAATTTGCGATACTTGGATTTTGAACTGTCGTCGAAATTTTTACGACCGAACCGTTTATGCGAACAACAACAAGTGCTTCTTTTTGTCAGTGAAATAATTTTACATGTGAAACTTTTACACACTTTGTTAGTGGTTGTACGACGAGATACGTGAATTTTAATATTTTGAAAATAGAACAATTTTTTGAAGAGCTTTTGCGTCTCTCCCACTGAAGGAACTTTGGACATATGATAGACTGCATAATTAACATTGTTTCTAAGAAGATAAAGAATATTACAAAGTGAAAAAAATTATTGAAGTAACAGTGAAGATGATCGATGTAATGACATTTAAAGAGCCTGAAATAATTAATTTTTTGATAATTTGAAAAATTGTAACATGGACGTTGTGATAAATTCCTATACTCAAATGCAGAGGTGACTTTGACACATCTCTGAGTCTGAACTTTGTCGGTTGTTGAGACTGATAAATAAGGTGATCAAGTTTGTTGATGGAAATGAGTTCTTTTAATGATACCAGAGTGATAGTACTCGTGGATTGAGCTGTTCTTCGAATGATATAAAGGACCGATCGATTTCATTCAGAGACAATCAACGTCTTATGACGCTTCATGATACTTGATAAATTAAGAGCGTCTGGGAAACAAGGCTTCGTTTTTTGAAAATGTGAGGACGGAAATGTGTGAAGCTGATTGGAAAGTGATTTATTTTCGATACGATCAATTCGAGAAGGGAACATGATTATGACACATACAGAAGAAGCATCGACGACTTTCGAGTCGAAGACACCGACGGACCAGATGAATGGACACTCAATGGTGAATAAATAATTATTTATTAAATTAATTCGTTAATTTAGAAAATTACTTCAAAATTCAATTTTAACTCCAAATCATATGTTGGGTTGACAAAGGTTCTGCTCCACCATCTGAAAATTCAATTTAAAAAAAAATTAATTCATTTTAATTACTAATAGTTCATCAGCTTATAATACATGAAATTTATTTTTTAGTAAAATTTCTTTAATATTTTTAAAATAGAATTATATTACTTTTCTTTTAATATTTTATAAGAATTTCCACAATCTGAAAGTATTAATTAATTTTAATTTCTAACAGTGGATCAATTTATATAATACCTGAAATTTATTTTTATTTCTTGTAAGAAATTCTGTTAGGAAATAAATTGAAAGAAAAAGTAGATACCACATGGTTCTATTGCAAAAGAAAGTCATGAAGTAATGATTATTTTGCTCCTATAATTTTTTCTTTCAAATTGTGGTAGGTGGTTGAAAAATTGTAAACACTGTTACGACGAACATTTGGCACCAAGTTAATCACAAAATCAAAACCATTCGTTTAATTCGATTTAATTATTATTAGGCAGCGCCACGTTTGACTCGTTACATTGCTATTCGCCGACTTATTACGTTATATCGAAAAAAAACCGTTCCAGATAAATTTATTTGTTCTGAAATTAAACACGCATATCCAACAACAAGTACGTTTATATTTAGTTTACTCCATATCGTATCGCATACGATTTTCAGCGTTCGCACTGCGTCGCGACTTCTCGATGCATTTGGCATCTTACATCAATTAATTGCCATTTAAAAAGAGCTTTTGTGTTTTTATTTCGAGGAGGTGTAGGAGTTAATATACTTAATTACAAGTGTAGCCTTCGAAAAGATGTTTACAAGTTACGTTGTAACCCCTTATCTTTGTGAAGTGCAAATTCAACTAATAACATTTAAAATGTTCATAGGAAATATACTAAATCTAAATTTAATCGTTTAAACGTTAAATGAAGATGTTTGACAAAAGCAATCTGTAAATATTGATGTTTGATTTATCAGATTACATTGGATGAGAAGCTATTGCCTAATGGATCTGATAAAAAAGGTTTCCCTTCAAACGATTCCAAATTTTCTTCGACAATAACACAATGACGTATTCGTAGAATTTTCCACATGATAGTTACTCATCGTGCTTTATGACAATGAATGAACGAATTCTTCTTTCCTTCAAGTGCAACACTTTGTTCCAGATAGGGCGTAGATTTATTGCTCAGCGAATGCAACGAATGCCGATAATTTTGATAATTTCTTTTTCTTCCCTCGTGGTGGTTAAGATCGCTTGAATTTTACATACGAGTTTCTCTTAATAATAATTTCGCTTATTATTCTTTTTCGTAACTTTAAACAATCTTTGCAGATTATTTAAAAGTTTCTCTTTTTGGTAATTACTTTATATCAATTTCGAATAAAAATGTATAGATTATTAGATCTATATGGTTAATTATGAATTTCATTTCGAGCTTGTACATTTGAAGCGTTCAATTAAATGAGGTATCCATTTATTGATCTCAAGACACGTGACTTCGAATGTTTCAAGTAATTATTAAACATTGAAAAGTCGAGACGATAACCTTGCCGGGTCATTTGATTGGGTATTAATACTTTCGCATAAAAACAATAGACCGAGGAAAAAATCCGAACGACAACCGAATCGAACATCTTTCATGGATTGTTCCCGTTGAAAGCAGGAGCGACACGATTTCTTGGTCGTCCTTGCATTCTCACGAATATAAATTTCCTGCCTGTGTTTTCTTATGCGCTGCTCGTTTTTCCTTTTCTTTTCCTCGTTTTTTCATTGCTGCTCGTCAAGCAGGACGACTCATATTTTTTACGTAACGAAACGAAGGAAGATCGAACGCAGAATGCAAATATCATTTCTAATTTTGGACACAATCCGTGATTTTCTTGCATAAATTAACTTGAACTCTTTTTATTTTCTCGACGATCAGCCAGAGAATTTCACAAAATGTTGCAAGTGTTATACGTCCATATTTTTGAAAAAAAAAATTATTTTTGAAAATGAATTTGGATCACTTCCAAAATAAACAATCCAATTATCAATGGTTTGTTAAAATTTGATTTCTTGAATCGATAAAGTGACAAATATTTAAGTTAAATGTTAAATATTTTATATTCTGAATCATAAGGTTTGCAGTGGATAAATATAAAAAGTATGTTTGCTATCGATATACTTTATTATACTGTAGCATAGAAAAGAGATAATTATATGCTAACATGGGGACACTGACTTCCCGATATTCATTTTAAGTGGTTTTTTTAATATGCTACATGCTAATAATATACAAAATAGGCGTGTGTGCTCTGATTAACTATCGAATGACAAATACCTACTCGTGAAACCATTATTATTCTGACTCCTCAAGAGTGGTAGTTTGTCATCCTACCCATTTCTCCAAAACTAACCACTATTACAATAATTGAATTATTATTTACTAATAATTTACTTTAAAAAATGCTAAAATATCCAGCAATATGATAGCAGAACATAAAAATTTATTTGCAAATATTGAGTCATGTTCAAAGGGTCTAACATATATATAAGGATTAAATTTATATTCATGACTTAATAAAAACTCGAAAAACTTGTCACTGAACTTGCAACAGTATAGATACAAGTACTACACGATAGTACCATACAACGACCACTTATCAGTTCTTTTTTTATTACGATAAAAATTGCATGTTTTCGTTTCGGTTTCATAAGTCCACGACTTAAACGATTCTAAACGGGGAATATTTCAAAGGCTCATAACTTTCCGCGAATGCGTCGACGTGCATGCGTTTTATCGCAACAGGGAAGAAGAGTATTCGAGCGTGGTGCGTGCCACGGATGTTTCGCCGCAAAACGCATTAGAGTGTGCACGTTTATGGTCGTGTGTAAACACGGGTGTCCTGTCAAAACGTATTTACACGAATTTACAATGAGCTTGATAGCCGTGCAGAATTTAGCGGATGCTTTAACGACGGCTATTTTTAGCTACGATAATATGTACACGACACGATATGGAAGGTCAATACGTGTATCTATAAAATGCTTATTGTACATTTGTTGTGCAAATTAAAATGGCACAGTCATCGGGGTAATTATGCGTTGTTCAAATACACAGATTGAAATAATTTTATCTTGAATTTTCTGATAGTTCCAGTATTTTATTGTATTAAATATAACATTTTTACAATTAACAGCCAACAAGCTTTGCTATTTAAGTTCATTTATATCTTTGGATTTGAATAATACTAACTGGGTCATTGTTCCACTAGAAATGAGCTACTTCTATTTCACGTTTGATAAAAATCGAACAACAAAAAGTAGATTTATCTTGCATGAGATTCATGATAATGCGATGATTTTTTTTTTACTAACATGACTGTATTAAAACAAGATGTAATTAAAACTAGAAATCCTTGAATAAAAATATTATGCAATATGTAAATAGAGTAGTAACTCTAATATGCGACAGTTCCGCTGTTTATTTAAATATTGAGGATATAAAAAAAGGTTATTTTTAAGGTCTTAGGGTAAATGGGAATGTAAGAGTAGGAGGCCTCACTACTCGATTAATTTTTTAATTGAACAAATGTTATATTAATACTGCATCATATTATTATATGGACGGTGGTATCTCTAATTTTCTAATCTGGTAGTTACTAGATAGATTAATTACCTTTGGGTAACAGAGGGGTAGAAATCAAAGGTATGTTTATTAGACAGAGCCGCATGAAAGTTTCTCCTAGTCTCAGTCCCAATGTATGAACTTTAAACGTTAAGTTCAAAACACTGTTTAACAACATTTAATGCCAGACTCATTACATGCTGTTAGTAAATAGGGATCTGTAAATTTCTAACTTTATAGGCCCTATCTTTACTTGAATGCCACGGGAAACAGCGAAGACATTTTCGTTTGACCATACTGTTTCGAAGGAAAGTAACAATGAGAAATTCTTCTACCGATTAAATCTTATTTGTAAAATAAAATCTTTGTTCAACAATTCTTTAATATTAAATATTTTCACTATTTATTGTTACAATACTTTTCAAAAGTTTTTTTTTTAATTGTTATAAATAAGCATTATTTTTGGCAGTTTCAAAATTCTGATAAAAATTCAGTGGCTTTATTTTGAAATATGTTTCACGAATTAACTTTTCACGTTTCAAACGTGTTTTTAATTTTTTTTTCTCCTTCCATACAAGTGCAACGTGTGCCCTTTTCTTTTTTCGGTTCTGGTTCACCGCTGACTTTTTACGAGCCTCACGGGCGTTATTGAGACCGGCGACGAAACTCTCGAAGGACGTGTGCATTGTTCGGTTTAAATTAGTAAAACGCAGGGAAAACAAGTTTCTCAAAAATAACTTCGTTGACGCGTGTGTTGTAAATCGCGTCAAATACTTTTCTTTGTGCGTACAGCTAATCGCTGTACGGTTTTCAAAATGTCGAAAAATTCGGATCGCTTTAAAAAAATAGCTGAAACGTGCGATAAAAAAAGGACGATGCGAAGCGATTAAAAGGTGAAAAGGATGGATGAAAGCTCGTCGTTACAGCCCGTAACGGTAACCGATTCCTTTTCGAGATTAACGATCGCAATCTTGTCGTTTTATTATCGAAAATCCAGCGGTGTGTAGCATCGAGTCACGGCGGATATGGCGATGTAATCTTCGAGAAGACGTACGGCACTTGCGAGTTCTTCGTGGTTCAGCGATCCTGCGAGAAGGTGCGCGGTTCAGGTACCTATAGTCCAGGCCGTCGCTGCTTATAGCTTGGTCCAGCTACGAAACCGGGAAACAAAACGGTCCCCGGCACTTTGCTGAAGTTACTAACAAGCCATCCTGGCGTATCCTCCGCGCCTCCTTTTCCTCGTTCAGCCAGAAAAAACGGTACCGACACACCACGAGCCGGAGAGAAAGAGATTTATCAGCGAACCACCGCGAGACTAGCAACCCGA